CACAACAAGTACTAATACACTCAAACCTTGTCTTCACCTAAGAAAGGTGCAATTTTTTGTCTCAGGGTACACCTATAAAACACACACCCCTGTGCGTCCAGCTCACAGGGCTATGTAAATGCAGTGTAGATGTCCAGGCTCAGGCTGGAGCCCATGAATGGGGAGGGGAAGGATGCAAGTGTGGCTTAAACTGTTAGAACAGGCCTGCACAACTCAGAAAGCGGCAAGGGCCATATTACTCCAAAGAAAACAGCTGCGAGCCGCAAGGGTAGGTTTGGGGACAGGTGATACTTTATTAAGAAATTTTCAATTAAAATCAGGCCTGCACAACATACAGATCCCAATGCCCTTACCCTCTCCTCTCCCAGCATCACCCTATCCCCACTCCCACTGACAACTTCACTCCTGCCCTTTTCCTCATTGTCTCCACTTGGCCCCCTGGCATTTGTCTCTCCTGCACCCTGCCCCTTGGTGCCTTCCCCTTTCTCCTGACTTGCCCCCTCCCCTCAGCACAAGCCCCTTCCCCTCCCCTACCTGGCTTCTGCCTTCCAGTTTGCGGGGCTGCCGGAGCCTTTTTGAATCGGGTGGTCGCCGGCCGATATCACGACACCATGTTACGCCAGCATCCTGGCGTCTGCCAGAGTCCCACCCTCTAGCTTGTGCCAGAGCTACTCGCTGGTAGCCCGGCGGCGAGAATCACCGCACTTTCCTCTCCCCGGCGGCGCTCCGTTTCTCTGCCCGGCCGGCAGATCGGATGGGGCCGTGCTGCCCGTAGTCATCACGGGCTGCACAGTGACCCCCTGCAGGCCGCATGCGGCCCGTGGGCTGTATGTTGTGCAGGCCTGTGTTAGAACATACCAACACCCAACAGCAATTTAAAATAGGAAGGCAGGCAAGGGGGAGAAACAAAGGGGGGCACACAACAGAACCAGTCAAAACTACAGGATAAATTTAGGTTTGCAGAATGCTAATATAGAAGGCCCCCGACTTGCGACGTGATTTGGTTCCAGGGGAAGCGTTGCAAGTCGGGGGCGTTGTAATTCGAACCCTCATTTACTATAGGCGCTGTGCACTATCATAAATGCGGGCCAAGGACATAAGTCGGGGGTATTCAGTAGGGTTGCCAGGTGTCCGGTTTTGAACCGGACAGTCCAGTATTTGAGCTTTCTGTTCAGGAAACAAATTGAGAAAATATAAATGTCCGGTATTTTCTAAGTAAGATGTAATGTAGATTGTCATGCAATGTCAAGTGTGTCCCGTATTTTTGTTGAAACCATCTGGCAACCCTAGTTTTCAGCCCTTTCCACACTTACAAAAATGGTTTTAAGTGCAGGGGGTCAGAACTCAGGCGGTCACAAGTTTGGGGCCTCCTGTAGTCTCATTTGGGCAGGACGCAGGAGTTAACAGCATTTTCTTTTACTTACAGGAAAGTCAATGAATCCAGTGAATGCAAGTTGGCAGAACCTCAAATTTATATCTCATCCATTCTTACTTAGTGGTGTAAACTGGTGGCATGCAATTCTGCCCCACCTCAGTGGTTAAGTAACACTTTACAGAAAGAGTTCTTCCACTCTCTGGAAAAACTAAATGCAAACAGAATGGTAATCAACGCAGCCTAAAACTTGCTGCTTTGTCTACCTCTTAAGTAAAAGACTTAGTTACATCTTCATTACAGACACTTCATGGCCCAGTTACAAAGCTGCCATAACACGGACAATTGCTATCGCAACAGAAGGGGGATTTCCACTGCTGTCATTAATCCACCCCTACCCCAAAGAGGTGGTAGTAAACTAGATCAATGGAAGAATTCTTCCATCAACTCAAAGTTATTTAAATTGGAGCTTAGGTTGGCCTATGTCTCTCAGAGGTGTGAATTTCTCATGCCTCTGAGCAACATAGCTAGGTCGACCTAAGTTTAGTTATAAACTAAGCCAGGGCTAGTCAACACCCAGCCTGTGGGCCACATGAGGCCCGTGGTCCATTTGTTTGCAGCCCGTGGTACAGTTTGGGTCGATATGCATTTTAGTAGTTACATTCCTGCACTGTCATAGCTCATTAAAAGTGTTGTCGTAGGAGTTGAAATTGGGTAAATATTGCAGTTTATTAATATCAGCAGAACTGACTTAAATGGGGCCTGCATGTTGTGTAGTCTTACCTTAATCTTTGTATTTGTGCCTGTCCATGTGAAAGAAGCAATTTGCATGTATATGCAACCACACTTAAGCTGCGGCACTTGGCATGTGCTGTGGTCCCCGGGGCTTCCAAAGTTGAGTAGCCCTGGACTAAGCCTTAAGCCTTCTCTGCACAACAGCAGTACAGCTATGGCCTGTTGGCAATGCCTGTGTAAACCTACAATATAAAAGTAGACTACAGCAATAGAAGATTTTTCCCATCTGAGCAATGGTAGCTAGGCCAACAGAAATATTTATTCTGCCATTTTAGCTGCACCTACAGCATGGATTAGGTCAGCATACTGCACAGGGTTGTGGATTTTTAACACTACAGATACTATAACTATGTCAACCCAAAATTAAGGTAGATCATGCCACATACTGCCACTACGAAGAAAGAACACTAGGCATGTTTACCCTCCATAGTATAAGATACTTCTAGGAATTTTATACATGTCTCATTCCCCCATTATCCTTTGTTATTTCACCATTTCTCTGTGTTTTCAAAAAGAACTCAAGATGTAGCGTACAGATGTAAGCAATTACTTGACTATCTGATAAGCAGCGAGAGAGGATGGGGGAGGGAGCAGAAGCTGGTGGGAGCTGACTTTTAAGACGGCTTCCCCCAGCACCATCTCCGTGGGGGAGGGCAGTGGTACAGAGGGCAAACAGCGTGAGTGGGGACTGAAACAGACCCCGCTCACACCGGTTCCCACTGGAGCGCTTCAGCCTTTGAAATGTACAAGAGTGCTGTGGGCCTCTTGTACAATTCAAAGGCTGAAGCACCGCAGTGGGAACACAAGGTCAGCAGAGACTGCCTAAGCACTATCTCCCTTGTGCCACCTGCTCCCCCTGCTGCCTCTATCTTCAGCCTTTATCAGAGGCAAAGGGGATGGGAGGGATAGGGGAGGCTGCTGCACAGCCCTGGCTGTTGTGAACAGGGCCTGGTGCTAGAGTATTGCTGTCTGCTGCAAACAGGGGCTGCTGGACTCAGCATGAGCTGGAACTGCACAGCCCCGGCTTACATTTAAAATGCAGAGTTGCAACATAGGTGGCTCCCAGAGCTGGCATGTACTGGGACTGCTCAGTCCCAGCTCGAGCCGGCTCCTGGAGCTATGCTCTGCAGAGTGGCCCTGTCGACTAATCGTGTAGTTGATACAAGTTGTATGATTAGCCTGGATAACAGCATTTTAACATCCTTAATGTAGTGCCTTGTCAGTCAGTGGCTTCTGTACCAGAATTACCAATACAAGTGTTATTAACCTGCCCTCCACTTGCAGACTGACAATTGTTGTGTTATCAAGTCATAAAATATAGGTCCTAGCAATATACCATCTATTCATATTTATACAAAAGTACTAAAAGTCATATTATATTTTGAAATATTTTAAAGTACGATAGGCTGTATATCAATGTCTATTTAAAATACCAGCCTCCTTATATAAAATAGTACTAGATTTTAAAATGTCATGAGAGTAGTGACATACTAGCTATTATTATGAGTGACTCTTCATCTTCTAGCAATTAAAGCTGCATCTGATATCCATACTATGTAAAAACAAACTACATGTTTTTTCCAGAGTATAGTGTTAACTCTCAAACTAGAATTTTCTTCTAATAGTATAAAAGAAATGGCAGAAATGAAAAGGTTTTAAGATGACTGACTTTTAATAAAGCTTAACTTTAATATCTCTATGTTGATAACTGAGATAAATGCCTCATTATTCACTTGTGAAATAACTTTCCATCATATCCTTATTTATAAGATGGGTAGGAGCTTGTCTCCCTCCGTCCCCCCGCAGCCCAATGGCAGTAGATTAAAAATGCCAATTCAACTTCCATGTAACTCATTGGAACTGCTTATCAGACTGTAGCTCTCTTGCTGAAGGAATTGTGAATTTTTAACATGCCCAGTCAACGGAAGTTGAAGTGGGCTCCTGACTAGATACCCTCTCAGAACTCTTTTCCTCGGCACTATATCCATGCTCGTGAACAGTGCCTTGAATATGAGAGCCTTATAAGGCTGTACCATTGGCTGATAACCCATTTACAGAGAAGGAAACCTTTTGGAAGA